GCCTGGGCCTGCGCCGCATCGCCAACGACCCCGACGCCCGTGTCACCGTCTATCAGGTGGGACGTGGGGATGGGGATACTGGGGGTCAGGGAGGGGTGCAGGGGTGGGCAGTGGACTGATATCACAGGCTGCCAGATAGGATGGGTTGTGGGTGAGGGCACAGGGACAGGAACCCAGCCTCACCTTCAGCAGGGTGTGACACGGGGGCATGGAGCTGGGGGGGGGGTGGGATGCGGGAGCACAGGGGCTCCTGCTGTCACCGTGGCTGTGCCCCAAAGGAGTCCCTGTGTCCCCCCATCATTAAGTGGCAGCTGGTGACAACCATCTCTCTCTTGCAGCGGCCAGTGCCAGAAGAAGGGCATGACGAGGGCTCTGTCCAGCCCTACATTGTGGGTGAGCACCAGGGGACATTCTGGGAGGTGTCTGGGGTGGGGACCCACATGTCTCGGGAACACCAGACCTGGTGCCTGAGACTGGGGACCCTGTGAGAAGGACCCGGCTGTTCAGGGGAGCCCCGTGGTGTTGGGTCCCCAGTGTTGGGCTTCCTTGTGTGGGGTCCCCAGCTGCCTCCCACACCCCGCAGGTGCCCAGAGCCCAGAGCAGCAGGAGCTGCTGGCCCGGCACGGCCCGACACGGCCTGTCTTCGTGGAGGGGCCGTTCCCCCTCTGGCTGCGCAGCACCCGGCTGAGCTACTATGTGCTACGGGGGGACCCCCTGCCCCCCCACCTGCGGGTGAGCCAGTGGGCTCCGGGGTGCAGCAGGGGATGGGATAAAACCTCTTGTTCCTTGGGAGGAAAATGAAGGGCAGGGGGAGCATGGCTATGAGGGGTGGTGGTGGGATGGGCTACCCGTGGCCACAGTGGGGTTCCCTGGCCCAAGACGGGAGGAAGCAGGACCCCCATAGCCCAGCAGACATCGGAAGGGTCCCTCATGGCACCAGAGGGGAGTTCTGTCCCAGGATGGGTGGGAGGAGACCCCTTGTCCTCACCAGGAGGAACCCCCAGACCCCGAGCGCAGCCTGTACTACCCCCTGCAACTCGACCTGGACCTGGAGCGTGGCCCCTGGGATGACGACGACTTTGATGTGGAAGAGGGTAAGGCAGGGTGAGGTGGGGGCAGGGGTGAGGGGCTCCCCTGTCCCCGCTGTCCCTTTGACCCGTGCCCCACAGTGGAGGAGGGCCCCGTTTTTGCCCTGTGCATGGCAGGGTCCGGCGACCGGCGCCCACTGGGCCAGTGGATCGCGGGGCTGCAGGAGGAGAACCCCGTCCTGGGCCGCACCCCCGTCATCTTCCGCCTGCAGGATGGGGACCCCCCGGCCGGCACCCCCGGGGGTCCTGCGGCACCCTGCCTGGGGACGGGCCCCTCCCCACCTGCTGCGCTGGAGCCCCCTGACCCACCGCGGGGGCACGGCACTGGGGGGGATGTTGCCGGGAGCCGTGGGGGGCCCGGCGTGGCCCC